TATCCTAAGGCAGTGATGGCAAACCTTTTTAGAAACATGTGCCAAATACATATTGTATTAGAATAGTTATATTGAACTTTTGATATTCGCAAATATTAATATATATGAAATGTTTGATATATATTGGCCATTAAAATAATACTAAAAATTCAAATAAATGTAAAATAAGTGTCAAATCGACAATTAAGTGTGATTGTAAAATCGACCCGAATAAAATGAAAAGCATTTAATTTTTTGTTAAAAGTGTTATAACCATATTAAACTTTTTATTTACAAGAATTTCTTCAAATCATCTACTATTAAACTGCTGTGATAGTGTCAATAATCATTACAATTACACTATACGTGATAATATTTTGCAAAACTCTAAATTTTAAATATATGATGCTAAATTCTATTTACAAACTTTTTTGCAACAAATACTGCTTATTTACTTTAAAACTATTTTCAGTGGTTTTATTAAACAAAACAAATAATAGGGAACTATAGGGTTAAGATTCAGGGTAACCCTCTTTGTTGTTTTCTATTTAGCTAAGACTCAGGGTAACTGACATTCTTTTTTCTACCTACTCCTATAAGCATTTTGGCGCATTGTGTTGAAACATAAATTTTAAATAGTGTAGAACAATAACAAATCTTTTATTATATATTAACAATTGTTAAAAATTATTGTTTATATCTTATTTTTACATGATATATGTTATTATAAAATTATATTATCTTATATATAAAATTAACATTGTCTAAATGTTAGTTACCGTACTCCTCCGAAACGGCTTTACCGATTTTTACCAAATTTTATATGCGTATTCAGTAGGTCTGGGAATCGGCTACTATCTATTTTTCATACCGCTAAAGTGATTAGGGTGTCCCTATCCAGCAAAAATATCTTTATTGCTTTAATAAAAATTTTTTTATTTTTTTGACATAAATTTTTTTATATTTTTAAAAAGAAAACTTGCTATGATATGAAAAGTTGTTGTCTATGAAAATACTGAATTCATAAAACTGCCCCCTAATTTCTGCACTATCGTTGATTCCCAAAATGCTCTCATTGACCGCGTATTTCCAGATGTACACATACAATACATAAATCATGGGTGGCTGGGAGAAAGAGCCATTAGCAGCAAAAAAAACGTGGACGTTGATGAATTAAACTTCAAGTTAGAACAGACATTGCCAGGCGACTTAATATCATACAAATCGATCGATACAGTTTGTGATACCAACGAAGTTGTAAACTATCCAGCAGAGTTTTTAAACTCACCTGATTTGCCAGGCATGCCACCACACATTTTACGACTGAAAGTTGGATCACCGATTATTTTACTTCGGAATTTGAACCCACCACGGCTATGCAATAGTACGCGATTGGTAATTAAAAAATTGATGAAAAACATTATCGAAGCCACCATTTTGAATGGCAAGTTCCGAAACGAAAAACTTTTATTGCCATGAATTCCAATGATTCTCACAGACAAGCCAATTTAATTCAAACGCGTTCAATTTCCTATTAGATTGGCATTTGCAAAGACCATCAATAAGTCACAAGGCCAAACGATGTCTGTTTGCGGTCTTATATATAAAATTTCCATGTCACAATGTTAGTTACCGTACTCCTCCGAAACGGCTTTACCGATTTTTACCAAATTTTATAGGTGTATTCAGTAGGTCTGAGAATCGGGTACTATCTATTTTTCATACCGCTAAAGTGATTAGGGAGTCCCTACCCAGCAAAAATATCCTTATTACTTTGACAAAAAATTTTTTATTTTTTTGACATAAATGTTGTTTATATTTTTGAAAAACAAAAATTTTTTTCTTAATATTTTATGTAACTACGCCAACAAGTACATCGAGCATTACATCCACTTCGTTTCTTCGTCTTCGCCTGGCATGGCAGATGGAAAATGTACTAAAATTTTTTCAAAAGATTTCACTAATGATACTATAACAAATACCGACGGATATCCAATATATCGTCGAAGAAATCCCGATAATAGGGGACAATGGCGGGTGGTGCCGTATTCGCCTCTGCTAAGCAAGACATACAATGCTCATATAAATGTTGCGTTTTGCAGTTCTGTGAAGAACATCAAATATATAAGTATGTCCATAAAGCCAGTGATATGGCTGTGTTTAGAGTAAAAACTCATTTACTAATGTAAATGCTCCTCCAATGAACAAAAACGGTGAAATTACGCTCTACCAAATTGGTCGGTACATCAGTTCCAATGAAGCTGCTTGGCGTATCTTCGGTTTTCTAATTCATGAACGGGATCCAGCAGCTGTTCAGTTAGCCATCCATCTTGAAAACGGTCAGCGTGTATTTTTCACGAACGAGACAGTGATTGATCGTGGTACAAATCCACCTAAATCTACACTCACTGCATTTTTTGAATTGTGTAATAGTACGGATGATTTTGGTGCCTTTGCAAGAACATTACTCTATTCACAAGTACCACGCTATTTCACTTGGGCTCAAACAAAAAAATGGATGCCCCGCAAGCAAGTTTCACCAGTTGATGCATGTCTCAATTTATTTAAATCGAACGCTTATTTACAGTTAATCCAAGACACACTGAGTGCTTTTATCTTCGACTGTTGTTGGTTAATGTTACTGGTCCATTATCATTATTATTATTTACATTCAATCCAAGACAATTTAAATAAATATTATTTATTATTGTAAATTAAATATAATCTATCTTATAAAAAAGAAGTTTTAAACATTTTCTCTATATAAATTTTTAAATATACAATGCACACATATTATTTTTCAATGACCGCAAAACTGTCGGTTTCCTATAAATTAACATATGCATGCTATCACATATTGCGAGTTGTGCCTGTTGTTGCCTTAAAATAATTTTATAGGAAAATTACGTCACAAGGGGTTGCTGGCGTGTTTTGCTATTGCTTATGCTTAGAAACTGATTGAAAGCATACAAAGAATACATAAAATACAAAAAAACGGGAGAATTTATGCACAATAAAAAAAGCAGAAAAACAAAAAAGAAACAACAATTTACATGTGAAGTTCATTGAGTAATTGAGGAAGAGCAACAACAAAGCAAACACAGCAAAATATGTCAAAATACGAACTGTGCCGGCTGATATGTGCTTCGCATATGAAACTCACACACATACACACACACACTTAAACATACAGCACAAGAAATAGAAAAATATCCCAAATAAAATAAATGAAAAGCATTAACTGTAAACCGAGTGACGAGCGAAATGCGCACGGAAAGCATTTTTAGTTTATCAGCAACTCAACGCCAGAAAGCAGCGGTGAAATATTGATTTTGTGATTTTGTGTTTCTCGGCGAATAGCAAAAATTTGGATTAATAATTTAATTAAATTCTATTTAAATTTTAATTGTGAATTAAATTAATTCTTTCCGGAAAAGTTCTTAAAGCAGCGAAAATTCGACGTACAAAAGGAAACATGGCTTTGGGAACTTGCATTTTGGGCAGCATTTGTGTGGGCCTTGTCTGCGCACAAATCGCACGCAGAGTTCTGCCATGGCTGTATTTGAACGTCTTTGCCCCCACTTTATTCGGGCCAAAGGTCGATTTACGCCGGCTGGGAGATTGGGCTGGTAAGTGACAAATCGAATTACTTTCGACATTTCGTTTGTGACTAATTATTATAAAAATGTGCCTCGTGTTGTTGTTGTTGTTATTGTTTACGTTGTGATAAGTGATAAGCAGTGTCGATAGAAACATTTTTCATTTGTTTGTATTTTAATAAAAAAATTGTATAATAAATGTATTCTGTTACCTGAACCTGATAGTAAAGTTTAATTTCTTAATTGCAGTTGTCACGGGCGCCACCGATGGAATTGGAAAGGCGTACGCCAAAGCGGTAAGTTTCGGTATCATTGATTTGTCAATCCACTTGAAAAAATTTAATTGACATAGAGTCTCTATAAATCTCTATGAAAGACACGACTACTCTTTCCTAGCCATCATGATTTGTCGGGAGTTTTTGGTAACATCAGTTAGCAGTAACTTGCGTCTAATTTTGTGCACTACACTGTATACCAACATAGCTTCATATTTAAGAATTTGAGGTTTAAGATTAAAATGTATTATATACATAAAATCTGCAACTACTAGACACGCCATCTAGCAAGTCTAAATCTGTATAAGAACGTCATAAAGAATGTCATAAGTCCGTTATATACAGAGTTGGCTATATAAGATAGACCCATCTAATATTTAGGTTGGGTGGGTAATATTTAGGTTTGGTTAGAATATAATAGAATAGAAAAATAAACAGGGTACCGACTTGAGACAGAGCGGAGCACCGCGACTATAATACATCAAGTTAGGTTAATATCAATATTATACATTATATGATATAGATATAAATTTAAATTGATCAAATTTATTTAACAAGAAAAAACATGAATTTATAATAGGTGAAAAAAGACTGATTCACACCAATTAAAAATTATTAAAAAAAAAACTTACAAATACTCTTAATCCAATCATTTAATTTGGTTTAAGGAGATTTATATACATCTCATTTTAAAAAATATATCGCGTAAGTGGCTACCCTTAGAATGACGTAATATACCGATTTCTTGAAATTTTCAATCGCATTTTCTAATGTATGACCCACTATAGCAGTTATTTCCTGGCGAATGTTGCCTTCAAGTTCGTCTAGTGTCTTTGACCTGTTAATATAAACCTTTCAACAATTCAGAAATATTTTTAGAATCTTTCAAATTCCTAGAAAAAAAGGGTTTGCGGTGTAAAATAGGGCTAACGTGGTGACCAGTCGAAACAACAATTTTTTAATAACAAACGAATGGAGAACAATGGATTAACTTTAAGCCCCCCGTTATCGCTAAAATTAAACTATACTAAGATATCAATGGTGGAAAAAGTTGCTATAACTTACTATGCAAGTCTTCACTAAAATCATTTGTTAATCCTAATCATATCAAAACCTGCAACTGTACAACCCTCAATCTTGACAACCAAGCTATATTGTCATTTTGATGATTTACAGTAAATAAAAAAAAAAAACTTTTGTGATAAAAGATTTGGTATTACTCTTTACAATTAATAAAATTATTGACATGCAATAGTACAGAAAACAACATCATGCTATTTATTTATCACATTCATTTACAATCTAATCTATTTTAATAATTAACTAAATGTTTAGACTTCACATTTGAATAGTACGCCGCATAATAAAAAATATTCTATATCAGTTTAACCACATCAATAGCGGTTGGAAATTTCAATCCTACCAATTAACTAAACTGTGCGAAAAGTGTTATAAAGAAAAATGTTTGACAAGGAATTAGTCTAGGATGTTCAGTCATAGTAAATAATATATAAATGTTGCTACAAGTTATCAGGAAAAGGAGTTAATCTTTCATTATAAAAAATATATTGATTACATTATATTTGATATAATGTGTACTTGAGGATATGTGTAAATATGCTTTAAACACTCCGTAATAACTTAAGGGCACTCTTGAAATTTTGTTTCATAAATAGTCTCATAAGAATTGATTAAGAAATAGACTATTCAAATAAGATTTAATAAATGCAACGGAAAGATTCATAGCCAATAAGCTTCTTTGCTCTCAGTAGAGATCAACAATGAGTTGTTCCAAATATTTGTAATTGGATCGCTTTGGACCAATTGGCCACCATTTAAGGCGGTAAACACATTATTTTTCATTTTTCGATGACAGTTTATTACAATCCACGATATATAATTTACGTGAGTATTAATCAATACTATAATCAATGTTTTAATTATTAAATTGTATATATATTATATTTTCCTTCTTATAAAAAAGCCACTGTACCTTGGTCTTTGAAAAATTATTAATTACAAAAAAAAAAAATAACTATCTAACATAATTACAATTATGAATATTATTTAAAAAATATAATAAAAACATATTAAAAACATTTAATGGTTCTAATAATTGCGAACGTATACAGTTATATGATAATTAAAATAGATTGTATAATTGCATTTACAAATAAAAAATTAGACTTCAACTATATATGGATTCAACCCAATCGCTGAACTACAAACAATTTACGATGTATAGGTAAATAATTTTATAAGTTAATGTAGTTTTTAATTGTTGTGCCCTCTCTAGAATTCAACTATCGAAAAAAAATTATAATAACTTCTACTCAAGTAATAACAACAACTCAAATATTATGAGAAAATTGTGAATTACTTAATTACTTATGCCATTTTCATTTAGTAAACTGGAGTAACTTTTTCAATCGAGATTCACTTTTAGCGCAATTTTCATGTTCGAGGGGTAAATCTCGAGTAAAATTTATAACACTCGAGATTAATTTTTAACACTCTAGATAATTTTCCAGAGTAGTAACATTACCCTGGAATTAAAAGCTGTTTTATATGACTTGACAAATAAAGTGTGATTTGATTCGATTAATGTATTTATAAAAAATATATTTGTTTACTAATACAAAAATGTTAGATTACTCTAGAAATGTTCGATTGGGCAACAAAATTTGAGAGATCGCGAGTAAATCTAAATTGAATCTTGTTTTACCAATCGAAAAAGTCATTATAATCTTTATCACAGAAATTTTGAGTGATGATATTGAGAACAACTTCTAAACAGCGTAAAAGAAATTACAATGAAAATTGACTTAAAGGGATTACATCACGCAATTAAATGACTGATTGGTAAGAAACCATGCAATAAACAACAGCTCATGGCATTATTCTTATAAGTAAAGAAAAGGAACTTAATTTACAGCGAGAATATTTCGTGAAAATCAGTAATAATGATAATACGATACATACTTCAAATCACATCCCAATATATAATGCCTAACTATAAAAACCAAGTGACCTATCTTTAAATAGAGATATTCAAAATATTCAAAAAAAAACTAATCCAACCATCTTCATATGAACTTCTAATGAATTTCTATATGCAGATCACTTAGTCAACTGGAAATATGCAAATGTTTTGAGAAGACATGTCTGTGACATGAAAATAAGGAATTATAATCAAACTTCAAGGATTAAAGAGCCTAAGTTTATTCTAAAAAAAAAAAAATATTCAATAAACATAAAAAGAAGACCTATAGACAAATTGGAAACTATGTTATGATAAGGTCCAACACCATTTTCTGTAGAGAGAGCCAAGCAAACATATTGATTGAAATAAAACGGTGCATGGAAAATTTAGAAAATATATCTATAAAAATTATTTATCGATCTGCAGAGAGCGTTTAGTACTGTTGATAAAAAAAAAATAATATTAATTATCAAACCAATAAACACGTGGGTAGTATTTGGCTCTATCATTCACACTAGTTCTAGCCGATATCATAGAAGAAGAGAAAAAGACTCTCAAAGAATCAAGAATCAAGACTTCACAGATGGCATATGTCAATCTATATCACACACCAATACTAAAAATCGCTTAATATTTAAAAATAGGCACTAAATATAGTTCAATAAAGATATTCCAAACGGCTTGATTTGACAACGAATTGGGTGCTACATTTTTCTCTACGCTATATATCTGGAAAGTTGAAATCTTGTTGGACGCTCTATATTTTCCGTTAAAATAAGTTCTAAATATTTCTCTTAAAATTACAAGAGAATTTAGAATAATTCTAAATAAGTAACAAAATTAAAGACCAATTTTATTATGACCTATTTCATTATTTTATGGATTTTTTTTATTACGAAATTATTACATTCTTCGATTAAGTGCATATAAGACAAATATGTAGAACGACTATCTTTGCATTTTTAAAAACTTAAAAAAATTAAAATAATTTTTTTTATTTTTGCTTACAATTCAGGTCTGACGGTTAGTTACCGTACATTCAAACTCGGATTTTACATAATAGCGCCCAATACTAAAAATAAGTACGTGCTAAAAATTCTAAATTAGCCCTTGAGTTCAATGAATTTTAATTAAGTAATAAATGTATGAGATTGAATTTATATAGCAAAAGTTTTAAAACTTTATATGTAATTAATTCAAAACACACAATTATTTTCGATTCGATTCATATTACTTTTGTGGTACGAAGTATATATTTGGTATTGAATTTAATTAAAAATTAAATTTATTTTGTGTTGATCCACTTAATCGCACATATCAAAATTATCTAATGAATCCAATTATTACCATGTATTATGTCAAGAAAGTTTAAAATTCGCATAAATATATTGACTATCTATATTTCTTGGCTAAAGATTCTAGCTGAGTTCGCAATAAGTTTTATCAGATAATCAGTTAATGTAGAACCCATTGCCTCTCTGTAAATAAAAAGTCTTTTGAGCTCCAGAAAGAATGGAACTGATTATCCACAGTCCACCGTATGTCGACATACATATGACATAGAAGATAAAAATTACCAGTAGTGACATATACAGAAAATGCAGGGACTTAGGAAAAAACGAGGTCTTTGAATATCGTTTTTGTTATATCGGATGTGTTTTTTAGCTGCTTGAGAACTCAAAATGATAATACAAAACAAAAATATTGTTTTTATATTAATCTGATAGAAAATTTCATGGCATTTATTTTTTGAATCTCGCTATATGACGTCAATGGTGGTATAAACATTGGCTTCCAATGCTTCAAGAATCGCTGGTTTGTCGACTTAAACCAATGGCTTAACATAGTCCCATAAAAAGTAAATGAGAGCAGTTAAAATGCACGCACGAAGGATCCAGTTAACATGACCTCTTCTGAAAATAAAGTTGTTACCAAATTGATTTTACAATAAATCGATTGTTAAGCGAGTATGTTAAGCGAGTATGTTAGGCGAATTAAACACGTATGTATGATTGCGCTATCTTGTTGGAATCAAGTATCGTCGCTGTTAAACTGATTAATTTTTAGAAATCAAAATTCAGCATGGGTCGATAGCTCAGCGCTCGCCATTCTCCCTAACGACAGCTGCTTACTCATTTCGAAATGAAGAAGGACCGATAATATCGACAGCGTGGAAACCGCACCAAACAGTTAATTGTTGTTGGTTTTAAATAGAGAAGACAATAATTAGTACAAACTGCAAGAATTGCTTGCTCACTACGCCGATTGACCGTAAAATAGACAAAGGGCTTTATAAACTTCGTCAACAGATTTATTTTTTTTTTTTCAAAGTGAATCTCAATTTGGAAGCGTTAAACGATTCATAATGATTTGCCAAACCTTACTGAATGCTTTGGTAAACTTCTTAGATCTTACTTGTTATAGCCAAGTAATATTACTATTCCGTTAACAAAGTGGAATATAACAACCATTTTATTTTATGGTGGTGTTCTTTAGGAACATGAGAGACACGAAAGCAGACTGAACCGACAAACAAAGAACCTAACGTCATTTTATTGAACTAAACCTGTTCTGTACTTTGGCGAAAGTACAGATACTGAGAAGATTCTTAATTAAAAAATTTCAGT